CTGCTTTGTTGTTATAAAACATTCAGGGGAAACAAACAGAAACAAGGTTAAAAAGTATCAAAAAATGTTTATGAAATAGTAAAACCGTCTAAATTGAAAGGTATAAACAGATAGTTGATGTTCTAAGCAGAATATACACAATAACACAATAAAAGTGGGACAAAACAAAACAAATACTCATGAATTAATTCATCTTTGAAAGTGATATCTAGCTTAAATTTATATTAGAATAAATAATGATACTAATATTACTAATATAGGAAATTAAGCAGAAGCCCTACAGGAGGGAAGCCTGAGCTGAGAGGAAACGGCTAAAAAACCTCCTTAAACGCTCATTAAGGAACGGTGGAGGTTTGTTCCTGCTTTGTTGTTATAAAACATTCAGGGGAAACAAACAGAAACAAGGTTAAAAAGTATCAAAAAATGTTTATGAAATAGTAAAACTGTCTAAATTGAAAGGTATAAACAGATATTTGATGTTCTAAGCAGAATATAGAATACAATAAAGGTAGGACAAAAAAATACTTTATTAATCTTTGAAAGTGATATCTAACTTAAATTATAAATAGAGCTAATTTATATAAGAATAAATAAAATAATGATACTAACAGTTATAATATTACTAATATAGAAAATTAAACAGAAGCTCTGCTGGAATCCAGCCTCTAATCAAAAGACGCTCACATTGAGAAGAGCTGAGCCAGAAAAGCTGAGAGGAAACGGCTAAAAAACCTCCTTAAACCCTCATTAAGGAACGGTGGAGGTTTGTTTCTGCTTTGTTAGAAAACATTCAGGGGAAACCAACAAAAACAAGTCAGCCGGCTCTTCAGCTGTTTTCCTCTTCCCAGTTTTCCCAAATAGGAACGACTGCTTCCTCTGGTGGATCCCAACAACAGATTAGATTACAGAAAAACCCGTAACTTCATCTGTCCCAACACCAGAAGCAGAAGCTACTTCCTGGTTGTCCTGCTTCAAACCAAAGGCAGAAACCAGCGTCTCCAATTTCGAAGGACAGTTTTTAAAAGCTTCCCAAAGAAGAGTCGCTCACAGAGATGCTCCTCCTCAAAGATTCAGCCAATCAGAGGCCAGGAAATGTCCATAAACGGGTGGTAAACAACACTAAGATATCTAAAATATCCAAACAAAAAGCTTTGAGGGAAGAAATAAAGATGTTAAAGGTGATTTAAAGGTTTAAAAGACTTTTTAAATACTTTTTAAACTGATCTTTATCCTTCTGATCCACTTTAAACTGCTGCTCTGCCGAGTTGGACACAAGGCTGGCTCACCCCTTGAGTTAGGGGCTCAGAGTTAAGTGGCTCTTCAAAGAAAAACTGAAGTGAAAACAAAAGAAAAAAAAAATAATGCAAAGAAAAACCCCAAAAGATGCTCCCCCTCAAAGATTCAGCCAATCAGAGGCCAGGAAATGTCCAGAAACTGGTGGTAAACAACACTAA